GTGATGTGACGTATTCACCTAATGACTAATTCCCATCACTCAGAGTCCCACAAATCACAAAGCAAGAAGCATTCAGACACAGGAAACTACTCAAACAATTCTATTCTCATAACGAGAAACTATACTAGCATACAATTCTAAGCTCATACTATCAGACACAACCTAAACAGGCTATCCTACTGATGTCTACTCAATACTAGCATGCAACTCTCATAAAGCTGAAACACATATAGCAGACACATAAGGCATCCTCCAAGATCCTTAGTTATATTCTAGCATGTTGTTCTACTGAAACTGAAACTGATAATCATAACATAAACTTGTATGGGGTAATTTGGGAGTACTTACTTGAGCTTGGCTGATTGCATGCACAACATCCTTTTCTCTTTTAAAATTCTTTCCTTTCTAAACATTCTTTTCTTTTCTCAAAACTCCCTTTTTTACAAAAACTGATTTACCTTTTGAAAATTTCTATACCAATTCCTTAGTTTGAGTTTAGACACACCTGAAAGTGTGCCCGAATCCCTCAAATCAAGGCTCTGATACCAACTTGTAACGACCAAAAAACCACGACCCAAAATTTTCTTTTAAAACATTACTAAAAGCATATTTATAAAAACTGTATCATAAGTCATACCAAAATTTTCGAGTATTAATTCAAAACATAATCTCATTATCAGAGTAAAACACTCCCAGGCTAACTGACTATGGTGTGTGCACCGCAACCTCTCCGAGCTCCTCTTTTGAAAACTTAGTACCTGAAACCAAAAACTAAAACCGTAAGCACGAAGCTTAGTGAGCTCCCCCAAACTACCGCATACCACACAATAACATATAAAGCACATATTGGGCCTTGCCGACTGCATCGGACCAAGGTCCGGACTAACTGGGGCCTTGCCCCTGCATCAGACCGATGTCTGGAAACTGACTGGGACCTTGTCCCCTACATCGTACCGGAGTCCGGACTAACTGCATCGGACCGAAGTCCGGAAACTGACTGGGACCTTGTCCCCTGCATCGGACCGGAGTCCAGACTAACTGCATTGGACCGAAGTCCGAAACTAACAGAATAAATCATAACACAAATATATCAACTAGCATGAACACACATATACTGCATACTGCATCGGGCTGTAGCCCGGAATACATAACACATAAATCCTGTCTGAGCCACGAAGGCATCAAACATACTAACTACTGCATCGGACCGAAGTCTAGAAACTACCGCTAGCTAAACGGGCCAACATTATGGCCTTAGACCCGTTCCTACTGGAAGGAAACTCACCTCGTGATGCTGACTGTTGAACTCCTGAATGAGAAATCCCTGACTACTGCTCTGCCTACTTCCCAGCTATCATGGGATATAAAATACTAAATCAGAATAGGGATTCTTTTATGGGTAAAATAACCATTTTACCCCTGTTATGACATGGTCACAACATGGCCCAAAAACCCTCAATTCCTTCTAAGCCAATCCATGGCCCCACTAAAGGCCCACTAATGGCCCAATTTGCTCCATTGGACCCAAAGCCCTTTATTGGACCTTACTCAAGTCCAATGCTAAATCCTTAGTCCTTAGCAATTGAATTCTGATGGCCCAATAAGGCCCAAGGACCTTAAGTCTCAACTCAGCCCATACCGAGGCCCAAAATGCAATAAGCCCAACTGATTGCGTTACGCGGGGCGTACTCTAATGTACGCTTAGCGTACTGGCCTGCTAGAGAGTACGCAGGGTGTATTGCAATTACAATCGGAATACTCATTCTCTTAAGACTCTTTCCATTAAGCACTTAATACTCCGACTCAAGAGCCATAAACTTAAATCTAGGTCTTATTGGATGCCCTAATCTATAAAGTTGCTTGCTTTATGGCTTCCATGACTTACATAAGTCCCAACTCCAAAACCCAAGTTCTAATTCCATGAAAGAAGGTCTTAACTCATGCATGAACTCATTTGGACTTCCAAGATATAAACTTTCTGATCTAGGGAGTCATTTAGCACCAAGGGCAGCAACCCTTGACCTGAAAATCAGATTCAAGCTATAAAGCTTTCACCTTTGGACCAAAAACTACCATAACTACCCATACTACATCTAAGCATCCATAGACAAAGTTATGATCTTTTTACCTTCATGGTTTCCAGAGGATGGTGTTGTCTCAGATCTATAAACCCTAGCCTCCAAGGTTCTTCCTTGCTAATCTTCCTCTTCTCTTTTCCAAGCTAAGACCACCAAGATAAGCCTTCCAAGATCAAGATCTCACAATATGAAGGTAGGGTCGCTCTAGGGTTCCTTTTGAGGTTGGGGAGGCTGATATGGGGGCTAGGGTTGGAGTTATAATGTCCTTTATATAGTGCTTGTCCAAGAATTAGGGTTTTTAAGATGTTAGCGTACGCTGGGCGTAACTCCCATACGCCTATAGGACCCGCGATCTTTTGCCCCTTTACGTTGGGCGTACACCAGCCTTACGTTGGGCGTACTCAGCTAAACACGCGCATCCCACCATGAATGTATGGTCTTTTATGCAGTCTTTTCTCAATAAGGGCCATTCTTGCCAAATCTTAAAAGTGTCATAACTTCTTCATTCTAGGTCCGATTCTTAATGAGATGTATATCCACGGAAAGGTGATGAGAAACTTTACGTTTCTAATCAACACAACCCGGCCTGAAAACTTCTCAAATAATAACTCCAAATTTAATAAAGGACCAAAATGCCCCTGGCCATGGCCTCTAAAATTCCATAAACGAATATTTTAGAACAGGGCATTACGCTAGGCAATGGTATTCCAGGCTTTCAATAATACTCAAATCATGAGGTTATTCTCATTCTTTGAATGACCATTCACTCTTTATAAAGAAGACATCCAATACCATTATCATAGTAGCTGTTTTTGTCGATGATATTTTGGTTACTGGAAACTATCCTACAGAAATTCAAGACTTAAAGACTTTTCTTGATGATCAATCACTACTAGAAAAGCAGCCTTTCACGACGCTCATTGCGCGTCGTAAAAGGATCAGACGACGCGCAAATGCGCATCAAGGAAGGCCCTGTCATAAAGAGAGACGACGCGCATTTATGACGCTCATTTACGATGCGCAATTACGACACGCGTTTACGACATGCAATGCGTATCAAGGAAGGCCCTGTCATAAAGGAAGACGACACGCATTCGCGTGTCGTAACCTTACGACGCGCGTGTTAATGACACGCAATGCGTATCAAGAAAGTCCTTGTCAAGAAAGGCCATGTCATAAATGAAGATGACACACATTTTTGCGTATCGTAAATTTAAATATTTAAAAAAAATATATATTTATTAATTTTTAAATTAAATTTGCATTTAATGTGTCATAATAGAAATAAAATACCATATACAAAAGAATACAATCCATTGAATAAACTTTAATGTCATACAATTCTATTTCTTACAATATATAAATTTGCATTCATCTAATCTACTCTATGTTTCATACTAACAATTGAAATGAAGAATACAACACTTGCATTTTTAGCATCTTATCTCTTTCGGCTTGAGCTTTCTTTTCCACTTCTAACTCGACAGCTATTCGCTTTCATCAACCCTGTAAACACAACACAAAATCACTTGTCATTTTCATTCTACTTTTATGTGTACTAGTCAATCCTTCAACTTTCTTTACTAATTAGATTCACCTGGAACCAATATTGCTGATATTTACTAGTCAATCCTTCAATCTATCATATGAAGTATGAAAAATATGAACAATAGGAAATGGAAGTTCAAAATGCTAACCAAAGCTCCCAGATATATAACATTATGCCCTCCTGGTGCTTGTCCTCTTGACAACACAACTCCTATCTTCAAGGCATATCCTGATTCATTAGATTCACCTGGCATCAATATTGCTGATGGTTGCCCAAATAGGGATGGGAAAAGTTTTGCAATTTCATCTGAAAGCATTTGAACAAGTACAACTAAAGTCATAATCCTTCATCTTTACACTCAATCTGTGCAGGTGATCAGATGTGTTTTGCAATTCTTTTATGTGATTTTGGATTATAAAAAAACAAATCTCCAATTTGTTTAGTAACAGTTCGTTTTTACAGCAGTTTCACAAGGTATTTATCGTAAGCAATTAACTTTAAAACTCAAAATGCAAAATTTGATCATAAAACCTAATTAACATCTACACACAATGTAATCAGTTAACATAGCTAGAAAAACACTTAAATTCTTGTTTATCCAATGCAGCAGTGACTGAATTAGAAAGATTATTATCAATCCATCATTAAAAAGACTCCAATCAATTGTGATCATAGTATAAATAGTTTTGCTTTTACAGGGGTTGTAAATTCAATTCAGTATCAATATGATGTGAGAAATACCTGGATTTCCGACAGTGGAGCTAGCGGGACCATCGACGATTTTGAAGGGGCTTCTGGAGCAAGTGACAAGTCCACAGGAGTGTCTTCCATGGGTGGGTACAGAGGATAAAAGATGTTGTCACAAACGTAAAAATATTAAATTAAGAAAAAAGCAAAAAGAAAAATATTATTCGAATTTTGAAAACATGCATGTGTCGACTCAGCATATGGTTTATTAGTTTATTCATGCGATTCTTGATCCCAAGTGACACTACATCCATACTAAGTTCTTTCAGGACATCCACACTACAGCGTCCTACTTTCACCAATATTTTTTTTCACTCAGTTATTAAAATTTCTCAACTTACATTTTTAAATATCATCCAAATAACAACACTTACCTTATTTGCTGAGATCATTCATGGATTTGTAATGTAGGTTATCTGTCAATCTTGATCAGCTATATTCATATCAAAAGCAGGTTGCACAATCAAAAGATACAGTTCTAAAACTTCTTAGTCATCGAATACTTAGAGTAATTTACACTTTTGGTCCCTTTGTATAGACGATGTAAGGCCCTGAAGCAATAATCTGCTCAAAGATGACATGGATAGAATCAGAGAGAAACCAGATAGTAAACTTAAAAGGGTACTTTAGTAAATTGAAGAACAAGCTTTACACACTAATGATAGATCTGATGTTATATCAGATAAATCAGCAGGCTTGTTATTTTCATCCATAGCTTGTCTCTTCTTTTGAGGAATATTTTCATCATCAGGGACTGATAACGGTACATAATCAACAATATTTGTTGCAATTAAATTGTGCCCACTTGGATTATGTCCTTCAATGCCTGCCACCTATCGAATTATGTTTATGTTAAATGTTTTTTTTGATCAGTTTCCATTTTTTAACTATCTACATGGCCTGGGAAAAAGGAAAACTGGTCGAGTTTCTGTAAGTCAAGGCACACACGTTGACCTCCAGAATGCTCAACTCTGTTCAAACAAGTAAAAAAGGACAACAGTAAGGGCAAATATGTCTGAAAAGAGCATAAAGATTCAACAAATATTACCTGCTTTGAAGAATGATTGGTTTTTCCTTTAAACGCCCTTCTTCTTCACAGCAAATCATGCCAACAGCAAATATACTTTTCTGATAGGGAATCAAGAGATGTAATTTGTGTTGTTGAATCTCTTCAAAGATGATAAAAAAAGAAAAGAATAATTCTAATAAAATAGAGATAGGAATTACTTGGGAAGCAACCGATGGATCAACAGGTTCCTCATAAAGCTAAGATGCAACCATGGCTTTTGAATACTTCATGATTTTATCTTCAAGATAATTAAACTAAACTTCCAAAAACTTTAAAGTTAATGATGTAAAGCATAATCATGAGACAAAAAGCAATCAAAATTAAGAGAATGCTACGATACCTTGTCTTCTATTTGATTAATCAAAGATAATAACAACTACAGTTGTAGAAAGCCTAATAGCTAGATCAAGCAGAACATCTATGCCACTTTTTTTAGCCTGGTTTGCATTTGTAACTGAATTTGAAACAAACAAAAGTAAAAATGCCATATGTTACTTATGAAATATATATACACACACACAAGAATATGATTTCAATTTTCAACAAGAGAAACAAACTGATATGATTTGAATCTAAAGCTAACCTGGTTGTGATGAAGATGGGGACATTCCAACATCAAGAAGATCTTGAAGAAAGTTGTCACCTGTCATCATGCTATTTGTATTTGGTGGAGGAGGTTCTTCTCCTCCTCCTAAATCAAGCAAGTCTACTAAAGGAGCAGCAGTTGTTTTAATAACTCCATTAGGAACACTACTTCCCATTGAAGTTGAAGGAATAGAAGTAGAACCATTCCTCCTTCTACTGAAATTTGCTTCATCAAGAACTGGCATCCTTTCAACCAGTGCAAACCTTCACATACCATTACTAATTACTTCACTTCAGTCTTTTGTATTAAAAATTATCAAAATTACTATCCACAGTTCCATACCTAATATTCTGATGCTTTTCAATTATAGAATCAAATTTTGTGGATCTTTGTTGCAGTTCAAGCAGAAGGCTTCTTTTAGATTGAACAGAGCCCTACAAAAAAAAGTACAGTGAAACAGATCCCACATAGAATTTAGTTCCCTTGAGACGTCCGCCTTCGCTGTCTACATAATTCAGACCAGAGCCCTACAAAAAAAGTAACGCAGACATAAAATAACTGTTTTGCCCTTCATTTTTAATATTTTCATGATATACATATAAAGGGTATTGTATTATATAGACCTTTTCATCTCATCCCGCAATCATTGCCCCAACAGAAAAACCCATCCCACGGTAAGAATAGAGAATGTTGGCAAGCATCTTTGAAGTGCCAGTCACTGAAATCCTACTCTTGTTTGCCAATTCATGCAAACAACACTGAAATTAAAAAAAATACAAATATTGCGTAGAATATTTCAAAGTAGAAGGCTGTGATATGTAAAAAGGTGATTTTAATACCTTAATGCCTAAATTTCTGTGCCAAAACTGACAATCTGCAGCTCCTCCAGCCATTGTCCCCACCTGAGTTTATAATGTTGCATCTATGAATTGAGATAACTATTAATTACAAATTTTATGGAATTTATTAAGGCAAAGATCAACTGTTTCAATAATAGCATAATTTATGTCCTAAACTGACCTTATAAACACTATCAAAGGGAAAATAATAGCATAATTTATGTCCTAAACTGACCTTGTGTGGAAGGCTAATGAAATCATAAGGAGCACATCTTCTATTAAGAACATCCCGTATGAGATTTTCTAAAGGAAGTTTAGAATGTGAAATTCAATTTTGAACAAAGATATAACACACCTGCAACATGGAACACCAGATGCAACAACAAGTTCAAGTGATAGAAGGGTAGTGAATGGCGAGACCAATTTCAAGAAGCTTTATGAAATTTTCAGATTTGCCACAGCAGGAGCTTTATGAAATTTTCAGATTTGTAAATTCTAATTTCTAATTCTAATATTCCAATTTCAAGAAGAGCTGAATCCAAGAGATTGAGAGAACGGGAGAACAAGAGAAGAACATACCTGATTTTCGGTGACAGCTATTGTGGTGGTAAATGGTGAGACCAACGAGCAGCGATTGAGCAAGGTAAGGAGGTAGCGACTAGCGACGATGGGGGAGGAACTGGGTAACAACGTAAGATACAAATCGATTTTGACTTCTTGTCACTAGCTTTGGAAATCAGACTGAAATCGGGAGGGGCACAACCCAATTTCTACACTAACAGGCCTATAATTAAAAATTTTGAAGATATATTTGCTATTTCTGACCCAAATACCAGGGGGCCAAAGCCCCTCCTGGCCCTATACATAATCCGCCCATGCTATGACCATTAGCAATCATATGGATCAGATCTGATTAGTAACTAGCGAATAATATCTCTAATTGAAGCTTTATTTGATTATAGAGGCAAATTGGAAGTTTCACGTGATAGGAAACCAGATTAAAAAAGCAATCGAGAATTCAACACATACAAGACCAAGAACAATACCTATTGAATTTATGAGGCGACCTACTCCTTGCTGATGCACAACCGATCCATTCTCTTCAAAAATATACATAGAAAGGCCAAGTACACCTTAATGAACGATTTGATTTTTAAGAGACAAACCGATTAGAGTGGAATCAGAGATTGGGGAGTGGATACTGTTCTAAGGTCTTTATTTTAGGAACGAACAAGGAGGTGATGGTGCAAATTGATGACCACCAATCAAAGCCTCCGTAGAGCTCGATTGGAGTGGAATCAGAGATTGGGGAGTGGAAGAAGAGAGGATCAGAGAAGTTTGAAGTGTGAATTGAGTTTTTAGGGTTCAATTTCAAGTCAATTAGTAAAGAGTCCAAAACGATTACACCTCCCTGTACCTTACCCAATAATTGAAACCATAGAAATTGTTGAATTCTGTATGAATAAGCGACGAAGATGCGAACTTGTGGGAAGTGAAGCGGTGGAGGTTTGAGAATCGAGAGAGAAGAAAGAAAGAAAGGGGGTTATCAGCGGGAATGAGTTAGGGTTTTCAGCCGGTGGAAACAAAGCGGGCTTTTTAAATTTTGGATTTCATTTCCCCCTTGGATGAAACGCATGTTTCATTAATATTTATGAAGCGACATAGCTAGACGACGCACGTTTTATTTAAGGTGCCCTCCGTGTGTTTTTTATTAGACACTAATTTTTGGCACGCAAAAATGCATGTCTACTATGCTTCATATTTTGGAAATCTGACATCCATTTTTAGGGCACTCACAAATGCGGGTCCTCTATTAGCGCGTGTCATTGATTGCATGTCGTAAAAGGCTGTTTTTCTAGTAGTGAATTGAAAATCAAAGATTTGGGATATATTTATTTTTTCCTTGGCCTGGAGTTTAATGAAACAGAACAAGGAATGATCGCTCATCAACATAAATTCATAATGGAATTACTTCATTCTTATTCTATGTTGGATACTTCTCCTACAATTACTCCATTTCCATTGCATTTGAAATTGTTACCAATTATGGAGAATCCTATATCTGATCCCACTGTTTACAGACAACTAGTTGGCAAGCTGAATTTCTTATTACATATCAGACCTGATTTGTCTTTTGCTGTTCAGCATTTAAGTCAATTCAATCAGCAGCCTTCTCAAGCGCATTTTGATGCTGCAAAAAGTGTCTTGAAATATCTTAAAGGAACAAATATGAAAGGAATTTTATTGAACAATAAACCAAGTTTCAAACTTGAAGCCTTCTATGATTCAGACTGGGCTGCATGTCCAATAACAAAGAAGATCTATAAGTGGTTTTTACATCATTCTTGATGGATCACCTCTATCCTAGAAATCGAAGAAACAAACCACTGTGTCTTTGTCATCAGCCGAGGTAGAATACAGATCTATGAGACGTGTATGTTCAAAGTTAGCCTGGTTGAACAGATTGGTTGTTGAATTAGAAATTGAAGATCTTATTCCAATTCCTTTGAAATGTGATAATCAAGCACCCATATGCATTGCTAACAACCTAGTTTTTCATGAAAGGACTAAACACATTGATTTAGATTGTCATTTTATAAGAGAAAAGTTGCAAGAAGGACTTATTTCTCTTTCTCATGTTTCTACACATGATAAATTAGTAGATGTGTTCACTAAAGTCTTATCTAGTCCATGACATCAAGAAGCTGTATGCAAGCTGGGTTTGACTTCTGCACCTCCAACTTGATGGGGGGGGGGGGTGTTAGTCATAAATAACTACACGTGTTAATTATCAGGTTGTTTTCATTTCAGATAGAAGTTAACTAATTGTAGTTAATCTATTAGAGAGAGAGAATGTTAGCTGAGTAAGTCATCTATTTATTCTTGATCTTTCTAATCATTATGTAATAACGAAAGCAAGAATCAATGAAATCTCTTTCTCTCATATTATTTCTTCATCTTCATGTAACAAACTCATAGATCTTTACTCATATTTTCCTCATGCTTAGGTCTAACCAAGCCCGGTTAAAATTGTATAAATTTGAACATGTGCTTTTGTAGAAGCAAAATTGTAAAAGTCAAATATTGTGTTTTGTATTGTTTCGCATTTTATGTTATTTTACTAAGTCATATTTGTGCGAAGTGTAATATTTAGACTTAGTATATTTTTTGTACACTCATGTTCCCTATATATAGGGACTGAGGTTAAAAGTAGAGGATAACTTTGGTAAACGCAAATATCCTTTCTGCTTATTTTGTAATCAGTCTTCATCAATATGGGATCTGATTAATATTTACTTTTTGTGTTCTAACTCTTCGATTACTAAAATCATACTTTATTTTCTTAAATCTCAATAACAGTTCTCTTCAATTGGTATCAGAGCAGGATTCAAACTGCATCGATCTGATTTTCGTGTTAGAATCATTTGCTTTTTGAGTTGCAACTTTACTCAAAATTTTCCGCGCATTTTGGTTTTGAAAATCACATTTGATCTTCAGATTTGAATTGATTCTGTCTTTGAATTGTTTAGTCGAGTAATCGATCAGTGATTTGTGATCAATTTAATTGATCAAATTCTCAATTTCATCAAGTTTTTCAAGCTTTCTGAAAATTTTTGTGTTCATCAATGGTGAACTTCAACATGAATACAATGACTTCCTTCTCTCACTTACTTGGTTCTTCAACCAAAATTGTGATGTTAATTCCAGAATACTATGATCAGTGGGCTGATAGAATGGAAGATTACTTAAATGGAATTGATGAACAACTTTGGAATTGTATCGATGGAACAGTGCAAGCTCCTCTTAATGTTCAACCAGTTGGTCCATCTACTGCATCTACTCAAGTTTCTAATCAAGAAAAACGATTGAAGAATAATGAAAAGAGGTGCATGAGGGAACTAAGGGGTGCTCTTCTTCCTATGGTTTATAATTACATTCGTAGTTGTAAAACAGCAAAGGACATTTGGAACACTCTAAAAGAGAAGTATCAAGGTAGCGAAAAGACGAAGATCAATTCTGTGAAGCAATGTCTTATTGAACTGAAAGGATTCAGACAAAAGGATGCTGAGACTCTTGAAAATTACTATGATCATCTGAATGAGCTTATATTTCGCTGCAATAGGTATGGAATCACTAGGTCTCTCATGGAGTTCAATTTAACATTCATTATGGGTCTTCGCAAGGAATGGCGAAGTGTGAGCATGATGATTAAGAATCAATAGAGTTTTGATAAAACTCATTTGAATGATCTCTACAATCAGGTGAAAACACATGAATGTGATGTTTTAGAAATCTATGAAGAATCAAAACAAAGTATTGGAGGTCCTTTGGCTCTTGTTTCAAAGGTATCAGAATCTGATGTTAATGAAAAAGATGGTTCAGATGATGAAGGATTTTTGATGAACTCTGATGATGAAGCTGTGGCATTCTATTCAAACAACAGAATTAAGAAGTTTTTCAAAAAGCCTTTTAATCCAAAAGGAAAGGCTAGTGATGCGAAGAGTGCATTCACAAAAACTAAAGGAGAGGAGAGGAAGAAATTGGAGAAAGCTGATGAGAAACAAAAAGATGCGAAAGAAGTGAAGAAGTTGAAAGGTGACTTGGGAATTTACTGTCACTACTGCAATGGTGCGAATCATTTTGCAGCCAATTGCATGTTGCAAAAGAAAGAAGAGAAGAAGAAAAAAGTTAAAGATGAAGCATACTACTCTGAAAAGCTTGAAGAGATACATGCTAAGACCAAAGGAGTGTCTTTGGTTGCGAAAGGTGAAACTGATAATGAAGAAAGTGGTACGTATCAGATCTGGTCTTCAGGATCTGATGACGAGGAAATGAGGCATCCTACACATGGAGCAATGTTCGCAAGTTTTGAAGATTGCGAAGAGGAAATTTCAGGAAGGTGCTTCGTATCCAAATCCATGGACAAATCACCCATGACCACCAAGGTACGTGCTATACTTGAATCTTTTAATATTCCTTTATCTACTTATGATGCTGAAATTGTTTGATTTGATGAAACTGTGGCTTATTTTGATTCTGTTATTGTATCTGCTAGTACTGAAGCTCAAAAATTAAATATGCAACTAGGTGAGACATGGATAGAATTAGAAATAAAGAGGAGCAGAGTAGAAAAACTGGAAATGCATATCAAAAATGTAGATTGTGATAGGAATAATCTTACAAATGATGTTAGGTTGTTGCTAGCACAAAGGAACATATATTGTAATTCTGCCAAACGGTTATATGCAAAATTAACTGCTTTACATCATTCTTCTGACATTAGCAAAGAACAACATAGGAAACATTTACCTTTTCTTGAATATGAACGTGAAAAAGTTGATGTTGTTTCTTATGATTGCGAAAGTACAATTGCTCAATTCGACAAAATACCTGATGATAGATATACATATGGTATTGTCAAAATTGATGAATTTCTGAATGCTGATGAGTTGGTTAACATTGTTAATGAAAGTTTGACAAAGAGTGAACAAGTGAAAATCTTAAAGAAAACTGAAACTTCAACTATTGCCTCTCAATTCAATTATGCTGATATTGATGAAAATTCAGATAATGTGAGTGAAATCAGTGAGATAGAAGAGGAAGAAGAGGTTGATTGTTCTCAATTGTCAATCATTAATATCACATCTAAGATTAAAGGTAAAGAAATTATTGTTGATTCGATAGTAGAGGATGAAATTGATAAACCTTTAACTTCGCAACATTGTAAGTTTGATAATGTGGAAGTTGAAAGCTAAAAATATGATGATAATGAAGAAAACAGAGAAGAATGAAAGATTCATATGAAATACCTCAACGAGTTGTGGTTGATCAAGTGTTTGAAAATACAAAAGAATTTGACAAAATTTTAAATCGTAAAGGCGCACATTATTTGGAAAC